TTCTCAAACGGGATCCCGGTTGTCGTTTTAAACCGGGACATTTCCCGGGAAATTTGTCTCATCCCGGGATATCCTGCAAATTTCTTAAAAAGTCACTTTTTTCTGACTTTCTGTAACCATTGAGGAAATTTGGTATATAGAAAGCGTATTTAACTCAGAAACTGTCGAAATGCATTTGTTTTTATTACTTTTCAACCTACTTATTATATATAAAACATTTTTGCTGGCTATGGCATGTCACAAATGGTCAATAATCATTGCGTAGATTATTTGTGGCAAGACTCTCAAAATTCTTTACATGTAATGTGGAATGATTGATTACTCTGTCCTAATTTTTAACCATGGCCAGTATTAAGTAACTGCGTAGTGCCAAGTTGTGCAAATTTGGCAAGGATACAAACGAGTACGAAGTCTGCAAGTATGAAGTTTCTCTTCTTAACCTGATTATTAAAGACAAATGAACTGCCGAATAATTGGGCTATGATGTTTCTATTAAAGCAGTCGAGGTAGACAAATCAAGAATACTAGAGAACAAAAGAAGTACTACAATCTCGAAAACGAACTAGAAATCGCTCAGGATACTGGTGAAAAACACATAATAATTGTCTTCTCTTAAATGCATTAAACACGATTTTACTCACATCAATTGAATCGGAAAGGCCATTCTCGGTAGCAAAGCTTTTTATTAATAAAGTAAGAATTACATTGAGTGATCGGAGTATTGGCTGTCTTTGCTTTATAAATCTTGTAAACGTTTACAATATTTTCTATTATATTTTATTTAAAACCGAAAACTAATATTTAAGTTAGAAGTTTTATCTAAGTTCATATTTTAAAATTTTTACGTCAATTCAAAGAATATTGTTGGTGTTGTTGTATGCAGTTTCCAGCAAACTGTATTAATTTTTTTTATATGTGAACATTTCTACGTTATTCAAAAGTAATTTTTAATATACATCTTACCCAGCATTATTAATATCATTTTTGAGGTTCCAGAACGTCATAAATTAGTTTAAAAAACGAAAAATAATTATATCATTTGATTACATAATATTTTGTATATATGAAAAGTAATTACTTTTGTTTGGAGAGGAGGAGAGTTTTTTGTTTTTTCAATTTTGTTTCTATCAGAGAGGAGGCTGAAAAGTAATTACTTTTCAGCCTCATCTCTGATAGGAAAATCAACAGCAATTCCACCCTTGTTAATCTTACGAATACGCGTGACAGGCACCTTATGCAATCTTTGATCAAAAGAATTAGTGAGCAGTGTCTTAGTCTCTTTCGATGTGCTCTCTTTATTATCATTGTAAACTAGAACAGTGTATGTTGGTAACGAGGACTCCTTTTCAGACTGTGTATTCTTCAAAGAATTAAGATCGCGTTGTAAAACATCTCTATATGACAGAGCAGTGGTCCCTTGAGAACCTTCCACCCCTAAAAGTGGGGGTTTTTCTAAGTCATAAGTAGTCTGTTTCACTTCCTGAATAGCCTCTAAATTTTTGTCACTCTGAGCAACAAGCAGCTGTTTGACATCCCTTTTCGTTGCCAACAAATCAAATTTCTGAAACAGGAAATCTGATATGGAATTTTTCCTAATTACCTCTTCGGTGCTCTTCACTAAGGTAATAAATTTATCTGTAATAAATCTAATATGTTCTTCGGTACCCAATTGCCCTTTTGGGTTATTACGGAAATATCTCTTTAAATCCTCAATGGCTTTCTCAGATTTCTCCAGAAATTCTTCAATAGCCATCACTGAGTATAATAACTTCTTAAATTAATAATTTCCAAAAAAAAGTAATATGAAGAAAGAACATACGACTTCCGGTAAAAATTCTGGAATCTTCTATGGACCGTTACTATGGCGACAGTCGTAGAAGAATGTTGAAAATTTTAAAAGTATTCAGTTTTCAAAAACTAATAACTACGCGAAAAATTGTCGTACGTTAAAAAACTTAACAGATTCTTAATCCACATGGAAAATGCTATCCAGAAATATATAACACTTAGAGCTTAAAGTAAAAATTTCAGCAAAAACTCAATTCGAATACAGAGCAAAATTCTCCTGCATCCATTGACTAAGCCGTTTAGCGCCCTCATAGTAGATAGGGACAATTTTTTTTTTTTCAATTTTGTCGGAACTAGTCTTCCAGGTCGGGCTATCTTAGCCCTACTGGGTCGACAGTTCCATTTTATTATCACCCCGCTTTGCATAGCTTTGCAGGGTTTTTACAGACTATCAATACATACATTGCATCTAGAGAAAATACAAAATATAGCAAATAAAATACATAGAATAAGATATGAATACAATACAATACAATATATTAATAAGATGAACATAGGATATAATAAAGTAAAGTAAAGTGCGACACTTGTACGTCCACGATACCGGAGTAGTTGATTACAGGGATCTGTTGTGTGTAGATGGCACTGCAGCATGTTGAAAACCTCAGGTAACCTTTTTGAACTTATGGTGTATCTTTACCATGGTTTCAAAGTTTGGGTAGAGTCTACCGTCGTCAACCAGTTGGTACTTTGGCACAGGCCACAGAAGGTGAAGGGAGTTGCAGGTGGATAGCAGTTCTTGCCGGACCTTTTCCAACCGGATGCAGTCATATATAACATGGTCTGGATCTTCGGGGACCCCACAGGAGTCGCAGAGGTTTGAGCTGGCGTGACCTTGCTTGTGAAAGTACGCGTTAAAGTATCCGTGTCCCGTTATGAAAGCCGTAAGGAAGTGGCTCATCTTGAGATGGCGGTTGCTGAGTCGACGTTGGATGGATGGGAAGAAGGAATAGAGCTCTCGGCCCTTCGTAGAGGCCGATCATCGGGTCTGCCAGAGGGCCGAGTAGTACGACTTGATGTGGTGCTTGATGCTGGCCATCGGAATGCTGTTGTAGGAGTAGGAAATGTCTGCTGTTGTACCCTCTTTTGCTAGGGCATCGGCCGCCTCATTGCCGATAATACCGGCATGGGCTTTAACCCAGGAGAACGAGATGGTAAGTTTTCTGTCACTTTTATTGATATTTACCAGGTGTCGCCACACCGTGTTTGTTAGGCTATGCCTGCTGTTGACATCTTGCAGTGTGGCTATTGCCGACCTGCTATCAGTGCAGATGTGGAGGTTCCCACGGTAGAAGTAGGCTGCTGCCCAATCGATGGCAGACAGAATTGCGAGCACTTCCGCTTGAAAATTGCTGCAGAGGGGGTGCAGCTTCTTAATGTGGCTATATGTCAGCCTATGGTTGCTCAAGTAGGCGAAGGCAGCCCCTGTGCCATCGTCATTCTTAGATCCGTCGGTATACACCCGCTGCGGGTGGGCTGAATTGTACTCCACCACCTTTATGGCGTGGATGTTACGTATGTGGAGCTTCTTGTCCACTGGGATCGGCCTCTCTGGCACCGCCCCGTTCGTTATAATAAAGTCAGGTAATATCGCCTTCGATTTGGCAAGATATATGGTGCCTTTTTCTTTCACGAGGAGGTCCATGGGGAGGGTTCCTGCCAAGACCTGTAGGGCTTTGTTTGAGGTGGTGCGGAACGCACTGGTGATACGAATAAGGAGTTTCCTTTGGGTAGCCTGCAGCTTGCGGATGGCGTGGCAGTTGTTAGCCCTTTCGCACCAAGCCTCTGCTGCATAGGTGGCTATGGGGATCATTGCCCCTTTGTAGATAAGGGCCAGGGCCTCCCCCGTAAGACCCCAGTCCCGTCTCGCAACCTTCGCTGCCCAGGCAAAGAAATGGCTGGTTCTCTCATATAGGCTCGTGATGTGTGGGGTCTAGTTAAGCTTGTCGTCCAGGACGACCCCCAGGTATCTTGTATTATTATCGATAGTGATACTTTCGTTGCCTATGCGGTGGGAGGGGAACTGCCTCTCCACCTTGTATTTCGTATAAAGCAGACAAATGGTCTTGTTAGGGTTAAAGGAGAGCTTATTGCAGCTGCCCCAGTCTTGGATCTTCTCAAGGAGGTTGTTCACAGTATACCCTCTTCAGGTTCACTATGAGAAAAAAGTTTTTATTGTTTGAAATTCTTTTTATACTATAACTTATTGATGTTCTGCTGTGTGAAAATCAACTGTTTGAGAAAGTATTGCAGTTTGTTTTTTCAAAATTGGACGTGTCATATACGACACACTGGATCTCTAGGTANATAACTTCGAGAAGAATGGTCCAATTTTTTAAAACTTGATAAATTCTTAATCCTTGCGATAAATAATTTTCAAAAATATATAACACTGTGAACAAAAAATAAGAATTTCAACAAAGAACTCAATTTGAAAACAGAGCAAAAATTTATGCATACATTCACTCAGCTTAGTTTAGCGCCCTCTCCAGTAGATAAGGACATTCATTCATTCATTCATTCATTAGTTTAATTGTACATTTAAAACAAGGTACAAAGTCCTGCCCCACAGTGAGCATTACAGGAACATATCCGTTACATAGTTCCACTGAGTTACAGTATGCACTAATGAACAAAGCAAAGTGAAAAGAAAAATTTAAAAAAAATAAATAAATAAATAAATAAAAATAAAAACACAATGACAATAAAAGACCCGAACAAAATATGCAGCAGCATGCTGCAGCATATAACAGATTGCTTATCTGCAGGAATGTTTTTGCAAATGAAGGTCGCAGTAAATACAATAATTCTGACAAAGTGTTTAACAGAATTTATCCCGTGCAGAAAATTAGTAAGACAAAGATTTGAGAATCCTATGAATCCATATATAATATGCGTACAAGTAAAAAAAAACGAAGTCCACACAAAGTCAGCAAACACAAATGTATATAGAGAAGTGATGATCTGCTTGTATTAGTTGTTGTGCTAAGGAGCAGAGGTAGCACTATGAATTAAACAATTTGTGTCCTGTAAAGGATTCCATAATTATTAAGGTAAGTAGTCAGCTGTCTTAATATATAAGGCTTTTGCTTTAATGTAGAGTGGACACTCCTTATCCAGTGTGTTATGTTCATGTTTATCTAGGCCACTCCTCAAACAATTAGCACATTTAGGCTTTTCACTTTTCTTTGTACATGTCTTAAACAAATGATCATCACCACAATGGCTACAAACTTTCTTCGGTGATGGGCAACTTGCTGCCAAATGTCCAAAAGCAAGACATTTGTAGCACTTTGTACAGGGAAAAAATCATAAACATTGCACGTTTTCCACTGAACATAAAGATATCCTTGTTTTTTAGTCATTGCCCTAACCTCCGGTGACATCTCTAATACCCACGATAAAAACTCGTCATTTCTCTGTTTGATTGAAAATCGAATGTTTAAAACCTTTTTAAACTCCTCCATCGTGTACTTCTGTGAAAAAATATTCTGTTCAAGCAGGTATTCTAGTAGGTCCTCTTTGGTAACTGAGTTCGGGACTGAAGTCACTTTCATAAGAGGAAGACGCCGTCTTGCGTTTCGTGCCTTTAATCCTTCTATTTTGTCTAATTGTTCCTGAAAGTATTCAGCCTCCTCTCTGATAGGAAAATCAACAGCAATTCCACCCTTGTTAATCTTACGAATACGCTTGACAGGCACCTTATGCAATCTTTGATCAAAAGAATTAGTGAGCAGTGTCTTAGTCTCTTCCGATGTGCTCTCTTTATTATCATTGTAAACTAGAACAGTGTATGTTGGTAACGAGGACTCCTTTTCAGACTGTGTATTCTTCAAAGAATTAAGATCGCGTTGTAAAATATCTCTATATGACAGAGCAGTAGTCCCTTGAGAACCTTCCACCCCTAAAAGTGGAGGTTTTTCTAAGTCACAAATAGTCTGTTTCACTTCCTGAATAGCCTCTAAATTTTTGTCACTCTGAGCAACAAGCAGCTGTTTGACATCCTCTTTCGTTGCCAACAAATCAAATTTCTGAAGCAGGAAATCTGATATGGAATTTTTCCTAATTACCTCTTCGGCGCTCTTCACTAAGGTAATAAATTTATCTGTAATAAATCTAATATGTTCCTCGGTACCCAATCGCCCTTTTGGGTTATTACGGAAATATCTCTTTAAATCCTCAATGGCTTCCTCAGATTCCTCCAGAAATTCTTCAATAGCCATCACTGAGTATAATAACTTCTTAAATTAATAATTTCCAAAAAATAATAATATGAAGAAAGAACATACGACTTCCGGTAAAAATTCTGGAATCTTCTATGGACCGTTACTATGGCGACAGTCGTAGAAGAATGTTGAAAATTTTAAAAGTATTCAGTTTTCAAAAACTAATAACTACGCGAAAAATTGTCGTACGTTAAAAAACTTAACAGATTCTTAATCCACATGGAAAATGCTATCCAGAAATATATAACACTTAGAGCTTAAAGTAAAAATTTCAGCAAAAACTCAATTCGAATACAGAGCAAAATTCTCCTGCATCCATTGACTAAGCCGTTTAGCGCCCTCATAGTAGATAGGGACAATTTTTTTTTTTTCAATTTTGTCGGAACTAGTCTTCCAGGTCGGGCTATCTTAGCCCTACTGGGTCGACAGTTCCATTTTATTATCACCCCGCTTTGCATAGCTTTGCAGGGTTTTTACAGACTATCAATACATACATTGCATCTAGAGAAAATACAAAATATAGCAAATAAAATACATAGAATAAGATATGAATACAATACAATACAATATATTAATAAGATGAACATAGGATATAATAAAGTAAAGTAAAGTGCGACACTTGTACGTCCACGATACCGGAGTAGTTGATTACAGGGATCTGTTGTGTGTAGATGGCACTGCAGCATGTTGAAAACCTCAGGTAACCTTTTTGAACTTATGGTGTATCTTTACCATGGTTTCAAAGTTTGGGTAGAGTCTACCGTCGTCAACCAGTTGGTACTTTGGCACAGGCCACAGAAGGTGAAGGGAGTTGCAGGTGGATAGCAGTTCTTGCCGGACCTTTTCCAACCGGATGCAGTCATATATAACATGGTCTGGATCTTCGGGGACCCCACAGGAGTCGCAGAGGTTTGAGCTGGCGTGACCTTGCTTGTGAAAGTACGCGTTAAAGTATCCGTGTCCCGTTATGAAAGCCGTAAGGAAGTGGCTCATCTTGAGATGGCGGTTGCTGAGTCGACGTTGGATGGATGGGAAGAAGGAATAGAGCTCTCGGCCCTTCGTAGAGGCCGATCATCGGGTCTGCCAGAGGGCCGAGTAGTACGACTTGATGTGGTGCTTGATGCTGGCCATCGGAATGCTGTTGTAGGAGTAGGAAATGTCTGCTGTTGTACCCTCTTTTGCTAGGGCATCGGCCGCCTCATTGCCGATAATACCGGCATGGGCTTTAACCCAGGAGAACGAGATGGTAAGTTTTCTGTCACTTTTATTGATATTTACCAGGTGTCGCCACACCGTGTTTGTTAGGCTATGCCTGCTGTTGACATCTTGCAGTGTGGCTATTGCCGACCTGCTATCAGTGCAGATGTGGAGGTTCCCACGGTAGAAGTAGGCTGCTGCCCAATCGATGGCAGACAGAATTGCGAGCACTTCCGCTTGAAAATTGCTGCAGAGGGGGTGCAGCTTCTTAATGTGGCTATATGTCAGCCTATGGTTGCTCAAGTAGGCGAAGGCAGCCCCTGTGCCATCATCATTCTTAGATCCGTCGGTATACACCCGCTGCGGGTGGGCTGAATTGTACTCCACCACCTTTATGGCGTGGATGTTACGTATGTGGAGCTTCTTGTCCACTGGGATCGGCCTCTCTGGCACCGCCCCGTTCGTTATAATAAAGTCAGGTAATATCGCCTTCGATTTGGCAAGATATATGGTGCCTTTTTCTTTCACGAGGAGGTCCATGGGGAGGGTTCCTGCCAAGACCTGTAGGGCTTTGTTTGAGGTGGTGCGGAACGCACTGGTGATACGAATAAGGAGTTTCCTTTGGGTAGCCTGCAGCTTGCGGATGGCGTGGCAGTTGTTAGCCCTTTCGCACCAAGCCTCTGCTGCATAGGTGGCTATGGGGATCATTGCCCCTTTGTAGATAAGGGCCAGGGCCTCCCCCGTAAGACCCCAGTCCCGTCTCGCAACCTTCGCTGCCCAGGCAAAGAAATGGCTGGTTCTCTCATATAGGCTCGTGATGTGTGGGGTCTAGTTAAGCTTGTCGTCCAGGACGACCCCCAGGTATCTTGTATTATTATCGATAGTGATACTTTCGTTGCCTATGCGGTGGGAGGGGAACTGCCTCTCCACCTTGTATTTCGTATAAAGCAGACAAATGGTCTTGTTAGGGTTAAAGGAGAGCTTATTGCAGCTGCCCCAGTCTTGGATCTTCTCAAGGAGGTTGTTCACAGTATAGCCTCTTCAGGTTCACTATGAGAAAAAAGTTTTTATTGTTTGAAATTCTTTTTATACTATAACTTATTGATGTTCTGCTGTGTGAAAATCAACTGTTTGAGAAAGTATTGCAGTTTGTTTTTTCAAAATTGGACGTGTCATATACGACACACTGGATCTCTAGGTATGCATTGAATTACTTATGACCTGGCAGTATATTTTTTAAATGCTGTTAATACAATACAATAATTTAAAACATTTTTACATTAAAAAACTTTTTTTAATGTTCTAATATTTTAAAATTACAAAATTACAAAAAATTTTTGTATTTCATGGAGGGTCGTGTTTAGAGACATCCCCGTTCGTGTAAGTGATGACCGATTTGTGGCTGTCGAAATGGTCTCAAATATACTGATCGGAATATATTTTATAAAATATTCCTGTGGATCTGCATCTCTGGCTTGCGATGGAATATTTTCTAAAGGTGGTGCAGGAGGCAATGGCTCAAACACATCTGTGTGCTGCCAAATAAAATTATTTTGATGCACATTCCTTATCGGAATCACCATGTCTTCATCTGAAGAATCACTTGTGCTTTCAGTTGGTATGAAGATCTCATCATCATCTTCGTCACTTGTTTCACATTCAAATTCAGAAAGATTTCCATCAAATTTTTTCTGAAGCCTTTCTCGGATTTTTTCCTCCGACTCCAAAACTGAAATGTAACATGTGTATTAAAATAAATTTATTTTTAGTAGTCAAGAATAACATATATCAAATTTTGTTCAAAAAACAATTATAAATAGTTAAGATAAATAAGTATTTCACCAATACAGAAAAACAGTACATTTGTACATAATAGGTTCCAGTGTGACGTATATGACACACACAAAAAAAACGTTTCCATCACAGACACACATGTCTTAATCAACTTCGAACGAAACTTAACATTTAATTTAAAGCCTTTCAAATACAAATACAGTAACATAAAAACAATATATTATTTATTTAGTAATAAAAATAAATACTTACGTAGACGAGACATAGTTTTTGTATTTTTTAGATACACGTGCTCGAAAAAATGTTGATAGTCTCTTTCCTATCGACACAATAAGCATTGAACGCATGCGTATCGTTGACCGGACCCTAGCGGTCATTTTAAGAAGTTTTCAGCTGATGTCACAAGCGATACAAAGAATCTGTAGCTGTATAAACAATGGGAATTTTGTGTGTCGTATGTGACACGAGGAATCCGTAGAGGATACTCTAGTTTATTCCTACTGTTGGCAGGACAGATAAGAAGGATGTCATCGGCGTATGCCGTGACATTAGCGTCGCACAGGAAGTGCTGACGTAATAGGCCGTCCAGGACCAAACTCCAGAACGGGGCCGGAGCAGGAACCCTGTGGACAGCCCATCGTTACCCTTCTGGTAGTGCTGGCACCATCATAGGAAAGAATAGCTGACCTATTGGTGAAGTAATCACAGATTAAACGGTAGATGTTGTTTGGGCAGTTGTGCCTCTCAAGTTTCGTCAGGATCAGGGGCCACCAGGTGTTATCAAAGGCCCCCTGAATATTTAGACTGATGACAGTTGTCCAGCTGTGGGCGCTTCTGGATTTCTCAATCCTGCCGACCACGTGGTAAATGGCGTCCTCCGCCCCGACGCCCTCCTTAAAGCCGAATTGGCTCGGACTGAGGGGGCAGGAGCGTTGCAGCCACTCGGTCAGCCTCTTTGTCACAAGTCTATCTAGGACCTTCCCCATTACGGGGAGGAGGCAAATGAGTCTGTAGCTCTTGACAGACATTATTGGTTTGTTTTTGCCTTTGTAGATTGGTACGACATTTGCCGTTTTCCATGGGCTCAGAAACACAGCATACTTCAGGCAGCAGTTAAAGATATCCCGTAGGAGGTTAGGGAGCCTTTGGTGGATCTCTTTTATTATTTCTATGGTAATGCCGTCCAGGTTGGGGGCTTTACCATTCTTAAAATGCCGGAGCGCCCATGCTACCTCAGCTTTGGTAAAGAGTGGGTCGTCTGGACCCATAGATAAGTACCTCGGTGCTGCTCTGAGCCGGACTGTCTTCATGTCTGTTATCAGACCTGAAGAACTCAGAGAGGAGAAGGGTTAGACAGTCGGTGACGCTTTGCACATACGTGCCGTCTCCATACTGAAAGTCGGTGAGTTGTAGTTTCTTCTTCATCTTGTTGGTGCCCAGTCTGTAGAGGAGGCCCCATGGGTCGCTGCTGCAGGAGGTGCAGAAGTTCCTCCAACTTGCATGTTTCTGCTTCTTGATGTGCTCCTTGTACTTGCGCTCCTCCTCAATGTAGTCCGTTCGGTACTTCACCTTCATAGTTTGGGGTTTAAAATTCATTTTTAATAACATAAACATCAGAGTTGATATATATTTCTATTTGAAATATCAATAAAAACGCATTAAAATTTATGATGATAATTCAATTTATGTGCGACTTCACAATTGGGTGCCCAGTGCTTTAGTCTAATTAGTCTTTATGTACATTTGCTCCTGATAGTTCAATGTTAACTCTCTTATAATTAAAAAATAAAATTGAATTAAAAATAAAATAAAATGCAGGTAATTTTATAAAATAAATAATAAAAATATGAAAATGAATATAAATTTCATTATCTTTTGTTCGAAACAACACTAAATCATTTTTAATACTTATGTGGAAAGAAAGGACAGTTGCAGTTAATTAAAAATAGTATAATTAATGCAAAAACTCAATGCAAAATTAATATTACGTGATGATCTAGAATTCATGATTTATTTTTAACAACAGTTCGTTGTTATTCGATATTCCTCCGTATTTTTGTAGAACATACGAAATTGGAAAAAAAACCTACCTTTTTTGTTAATGTACACCAACGCTCCTTAACCTATTTTTCCTTGTGTGAAAAAGAACTGGAAATGTTTTAAAAAAAACTTTTCTATGAAATTCACACTTTTAGTCTCCAAATCTAAAAATCGTTTAACGCAATGTTCCTTCACACCAGTTTTAGAAAACAGTTAAAGATTTTCAGTGACTCCAACCTTTGCCTACGGTGACCGTAGGCAAATACTTTACCTCTAGTCTCCCCTGTCGTCCACTTCTTTCGACCCTTAGATTTACTATTTACCCATAGGGGGCGTCACGCCCCCTATGGGTAAATTGTGGTTTTGTATCACACCTATCAGATTTAAGGTGTACGTGAGATCGGAAAAAGAGTAGTACGCCGACAAAACCCGCCATTTTAGTTTACTTTTTATTTTATATTATATTTTATTTCATTTTTAATTGTTTATAAATAAGTATTAAGCCTCCCAAATACGTCCTGGTGCATGAAAGCACCCTTATTAACTTGTAAATAAAAGAGTGATAACCTAAAATTTTACATAGTCATATTAAAGAATATTTACATTATTATATTTTGTAATGAAATTTTGCTAGTACTGTAACATCTGAAACTGTTTTACAATGTATTTATTTAATGTTTCAATAAATTTTTATTAACTATTTTCTATCTGAAATAAGATTTACTCTTCTGCTGTAAATGTAATATTTTCTAAATGAATGAAATAAAATAAAATTAAGTTATTACTTGATATTGTTATAACCTATGCAGATTGGAATCTTCAATTATATATATTCATATTTTAAACATTTTTTTGAAGTTTAAATAAATATTTGGCTTATATTATAGTTAAGAATTAGTTAAGAAGCTTAGTTATTAGTTATTATTGTTAATCTTAACNTGAATCTAAATGAAAAGCAGTGTCTAATGGTAAGCTCATAATAATGATAAATTTATCATAAAATAGTTTAACAATAAGTAAATATTTTTAATGTTCAGAATAAACAATACTATTTTATTTCTTGTTATTATATATGAACAAAATCAGAATAAAACGCAATGTGTTTCAAGTGACATTGAGTTTTACATAATAGAAATTTAATGAATTTTACAGTTTAGTAATTATGAAAGTGGTGTAAGTCCATTTATGGCCCAGAAAGAATATATTAGTTTGGATAAATTCACATAGAAGTCTTTATGCAATCAACTTACATATTTCTAAAGTCATAGAAACATTGTCAAACTTAGTACACTTTGTTTATATTTTTGAATCAACTAAAATGCAAATGTTTAAATATCTCGAAAGAAGAAAAAATGGACTTACACCACTTTCAAAATAAACAGTCCATTTATAGATATTTTGTTTACTATTTATTTATTTATTAATTTACATATATATATGTTGTTATAATTTACATGTGTGTTGTTATATAATTTTGTTATTGGTTTTGTTATTTATTATATTATTTATTAATTTATATTTAATATTTCACATTATATATTTATTTATTTATCTGTATATATAATCACACCATTTGTCATGGCGCAGCTTGGCCTATGTTGCCCTTGCGCCAATAAACTATAACCAACCAACCTTCATAGTTTGGTCGGCACAACGTTTATACCGTCTTCGCATAGCTGCGACCTCACTCTTATGGGCCTGCAGCTCCGCACACCACCATTTGACCACCCTTTCCCGCTGCCTGTAGCGGGGGATGGCTTCATTTATACTGTTGTTAAGAGTGTTGATTAGATGCTGCACCTTTAGTTCTGCCTCTATCCGGTTTGTCGCTGTGTTGGAGTCGAAGTCTTCTTTACTTAGTTTATTTATGATGT